ATCTGCTCCATCAGGAAATGTTCCATTATCGGTAGCAGTCACATCAGTGGTAGTAACTTCATCAAGGGCTTCACTGTTTCTCATCTCAAAACCGGGTAGAGTTTCTTCTTCGGCAGTAGCTTTTTCAGGTGACACGTCTCCAGCAGCGTCGTTTGTTCCAACTGAAATGTCCTGGACCGTGATAACGCCAAAGCCTGTTGGCATGCACCACCTTACCTCACTGACCACATTTTATTTGTATAATCCCAGGAAGACCAAAGGGAAGTCTCCTAAGTTGTCTTCTCCATGGGAAGGTCCATATGACATAGTGGATCGTCTCTCAGACGTGACTTTCCGAACCACACCTTGTCTCCTGGTACAAAGCTGACTTCAGCAGATCTCTTATCATAAGATAACTTCATCGAATCAACAGACGTTTTCAAGTTTGAACGCACTTGGTGGTGAATATCATCCATATTTTCAGATAACACTTTCACGAACTCTGACACATTTTCAGGCAACTCTTCATAAGATGGGTGTCCTGTTATCAGGTCCACTGGTAACCGAAGTTCCCGACCAAACATCAACTTTGCTGGAGTGTATCCAGTGGCTTCATGCTCTGCTGTTCTATAGGCTATCAACAGTGGAGGAAGTAAGACATCCCAGTCATCTTGGCGGCTATTACAAAACTGTGCCAATTCCTGTCCCAGTGTTCAGTTGTACTTTCTACCATCCCATCGGACTGTGGGTGAAGTGGCGTTGTCCTGGTCTTACGGATCCCAAACAACTTGCAACATTCTTGGAACATAGCTGATTCGAAGTTACGGCCTTGATCTGAATGCAGTTCATATGGCATACGAAATCTGAAGAAGAAATCACTTACAGCCGAAGTTACAGTTGTAGCTTCCTGATTTGGTATTGCATATGCCTCAGGCCACTTAAGGAAATAGGTCCCTTTTTAGCACAACATGTACTGAATGTTCTGCACCATTCTTCCACATCTTGCTTCATACCTATTCAGTAAAATCTCTGCCATAGGCGACTCAATGTCTTCTTAACTCCGAGATGTCCTCCTGTTAAACCATCATGGGATTGACGCAGCACAACTTCCCGTAACTTTGTCGGTATAACTGTTTGCCAGGTCGGCTCTTTCCCATCTGCAGTTTCCAATCCCTGGACAAGAATACCATCTTCAAGCTTCAACTGGTCCCATTGTGCCCAATAGTTTTTTTTGTCACAGGGCTTAAGCTAGATACCTTCTCCCAAGCAGGGTACAAAACATCTGCTTTTAGAAAATCAATTATTGGCTTCAAATCTTGGTCTTTCTCCTGCTTTGCTTTAATATCTATACCTGATTCCACTTCACCATCATCAACTCCTTCAGTCACTTTGACTTCAGCTTGATGACACCTGGTTAGTTCAACCTCCGTTTTAACACTTACCAGAATTCGGCCTTTGTTGTTCCCAAACGTCATTTTATCAAAATCAACTAC